AAAAAAACTTCAGAATTGAATCAGATTTGCATTTCCAGAGCGGTTTCACGGTCACTTACCAGCTTAGTGTTCTAAACCATGGGAGGTCATAGGAGTGATAGACTCTGTATCCAATGGTGATAATCTCATGGAAGCATTTCACTTGGATGCCCAGAACCTGAAAATAAAACAACAAGGTCATGTAATCTGTGCTGTGTAACTGACAAGCAACATCTTGCCACATGTGTTTTAGAAAACTTTAATCTACCAACTTGTAATTATTCTAAATGGAAACAGCAAAGAGGCAGCCTTCACTCTTTCTAGGGAAGCCATGCCTGTTTAAATGAAGGCATGAGATCTTCACAGGAGAAGCCAGGCATAGTAAATCCTTGGGCAGTTGGGTGGGCCTTATCCATTTATTTTTATTATGTATATCTGTGTATCCACCATTTCTCAAGATGGACAATGTTTCCTGAGACAGAGTCTCACACTATAGGGCAGACTGGCCTCTAACTCCCTTCTCACTGCCTCAGCCTCCCATGTTACAATTGCAGGTGTGACATGCCCAGTTCTGATTTTCCCATTTCCATCTCTTAGGTTCCTATAGGAAAAGGTTGACTTAGAGAAGTCTGGTTGTATGCATGTATCTTTAATCACATGTTCCAGCACACTCATAAAGATTGTGGCATGGACCTTTAATCTTAGCACACAGGAGGCAGAGGCAGCAGATCTATCTCTGTGAGTTCAAGGCTCTCCTGGTCACTACACGATGAGCTCCAGGCCAGCCACAGCCAAATAATGAAACTCTACCAAAGAAGAAAAAAGAGAGAGAGAGAGAGAGAGAGAGAGAGAGAGAGAGAGGATGTAACAAATAGTTACAGCATCTTCCAATTTTGCTTCTCACACATGAGCAAACTGTCCTACAGCCAGAAGCCGCTCTGGTCAGTGTGAACACAGTCATCGTCGGCCTTTGACATGTGCACACACTGCCCCGACAACAGAGTTGGCAGAGTTAAAACTCTCCACAATCCCAGAAGTTCTAATCAGCCCTGTTCAATATAGATGAGACTTCTTTTTGAGAACTTGAGTTAACACACTTATGAAAAAAAGGTTTACTGTAAAAGTGTCAGACCAGAAGCCTCAAAGACCTCATGTTTGCAAGGTGTGCCTGTATCCATGAGTTGATGATGTTCTGCTCATAGCCCTTCCTGGTGATAAACCCATGGATCTAGGAGAAGTGCAACATCTTACTTAAGCTTGGCCAATTCTAAGACCCAAACAGATCAATGAGGCCTCTGAGCCAGAAGGGAGAATCTTTGTGAACACAACAATTATTTTCCTTCCTCTAAACAGCATGCCCAAGGGCTTGCTGTTATAAGACTTTTATAAGCTTAAGGAGCTTAAAAATCAAATATTATAACAGGTCAATTTTCAGCTTAGAATATAAAATACTGCTATTTGGTCTTTTGTTGAAAAAAGGTTTCAAAACTCATGTTTTGAAGGTGTATTTTTTTTTTTAACATTTCTTGTGGTTTGGGGAAATGAGTCAGTGGATAAGAAACACACTGCACAAGCATGAGGATCTAAGTTGACTTGCATTTAGTTCAAACCCCAGCACTGGGGAAAGGGATGGGGCAGACAGACACATCCCAGGGCTCACGGCCAGATGGCTGCCAGAGCATCAAGTTCCAGGCTCAATGAGAGATCCTGTCTCAAAAGAGACAGTGCAGAGAGAAAGAGACTCAACAGCAATCCTCTGCCTCCAGAGAGAAACAGACTCAACAGCAATCCTCTGCCTCCAAGATGCACACACAGGAAAGTGCACACACACAAGTGCACAGGTGTGTATGCACACAAGAGAAAGGAAAAGGGAAAAAGAGATAGGGAGGGAGGGAGGGAAGGAGGGAGGGAGGGAGAGAGGGAATCTGTGACGAAGCATATAACTCTAAAGGCATGTGGAAATAACCACACACACATACACCTGTGGTGGGGGATAGATGGGCAGCGACAACACCAAAGAACACAAACAGGCAGTTATGTCTGCAAATGACCAAGACATGTTAGGCTATGTGTAAGTCTTTTAGAGCTGTCAGAATACACGGATATGGTTCGGACAGAGAGCTGTGCCCATGGTGGATGGTAGGAGAGGAATGACACGAGAAGACATGAATATTTGGGTCAACGGGATAGTAAGCATTAACTGGGGAGGTAGCAAAAGCAGACAGTAATTCAGATGACATGACCAAACTAACAGTGTGTGTCACAGGGCACATAGGGGGACTAGATTCAGTGAAGATGGAAACAGGGAATGTGTCACCTGCAAAAACAACAGAAAAGCATTTATTTCAAAGGTTTTAGTTCAGAGTTTTGGGGATCTGTGGTGAGACAGAACCTCGAGATTGGGGGGTGGGGTGGCACAGTAGGAGGAGGCCAGGAAGTCCACAGTGAGACAGAGAAGACACAAGGACAAGGTACAGCCCCAACATGCTGCTCTGAGCTGCCTCCTCCAGCTGGCCCACCTGTGGCCAATCAGATAGAATCCCTCATAAGGTCAGACCCTAGGCGATCTAATATGCTGCTCTGAGCTGCCTCCTCCAGCTGGCCCACCTGTGGCCAATCAGAATCCCTCATAAGGTCAGACCCTAGGCGATCTAATCACACTAGCAATGATTAGATCCAGGTGGGAACCAAGCCTTCAACTTAAGAGCCTTTTTAGGGGACATTAAATCATAAAAGCAGGGCTAAGGGCGAGAAGGGAACACAGGGTAGCAGGGAAAGCCTGGAACAACAGGTTATGCAGGATGGCTGGGAGACAGAGCACGGGATTTGGCCATGTTGAATGTCAGCTATGGGTTATGCAAATAAAAAATGCCTATTCTTATTTTAGGATTCTATTTTTAAAAAATAATCTGATTTATGAAATCAGGACTTATTTATGCTCCAATATGTTCAAATTTAAAAATGTTCTCATAAAAGAAACAGAACATAATCTGAATGTTTAAAAATGGTGATTTAAACAACACAGTGTTTCACACTCTATTAGATAGCAGGACAGGTAAAGAAATCCTAAGTACTTTAGGCAGGTTTATGATTTTCTTTTAAAAATCAGGTTCCAACTGAGCATGGTGCACACACCTGTAATCCCAGCACTGTGGAGACTGAAGCAGCGGACTGCAAGTTTGAGGCCAGCCTGACCTACATAGCAAGTTCAAGGCCAGGTGGGCAATACAGCCGGATGAACGTCTCTAAGTGCATTCTGAATTTCATCATGGAAAAGTCTGGACCTTCTTGGGAGCATCAGCCCCTGACATCCTGAGCTGATGAAATTTTTTGTGACCAATTTTACTTTCAAATGTATTTTTAATAAAAGGAAAACCACACTATGTTACTGACAATTGTATCCTCTCTCAACAGGACACAGGGGTGAAAGACAGGAAGATGGGTAGAAGTATCCGCATTCTCCAGTAGGCAGAAGACCAGGAAGGTGAACACGTAAGAGGCTGAATGAGTTGAGGTGAGACGAAGAAAGCAACAGAGTAAAAGGGAGAGTCTGGCACAGCTGCCCAGTGTACAAGAGTGCCCCCCCTCCCGAGCAGGTGCCCTCCCCCCACCCTGGGAAAGCAGGTGTCACAGTGGGAGCACTGGTGACAGCTGCCTGGTACTACACAAGTGTGTCCTGGGAGAGCAGGTGTCACAATGGGAGCAGTGGTGACTGGCCAGGAGGAAGTGAACAGTTTTATCTAGAGAGCTTGTCACCTTCTCAACACATCCTTACATAATAATAATGAAGGACACTGTGTGTACCCCCAAGAATGGTTGTCACTATTCATTGCTAAGCCAATACCTGGAAACACTAAGTCTGTTGAAAGAATGGATTTCTCCTGGATCCCACAACTGAGGTACACATTCTGTGAGGAACACCTCCACTCAACTCCTCCCTCCACCTCCTCGACTCCTATTCAACCTTCAGCTGGAAGCTCACACGTGTTGCACAATGCTTCCAGGGAGTCTGCCAACTCCTTTTCTGCTCTCACAGTACTAGACTTTATTTCAAAGACTGCAGTTTGTAATTGGAAGCAGCTAAGCAGTTCTTTACAGTGTAAACAGCAAATACCATCAAAACAAAGATGGGAATGTGTTCCGGGGCACCATCATTAACATACCCCAGTGCTACTGTAATCCCTGGTACACACCAGTCACCTTGAAGGCATTTATGAAATGAATGAAGTAAGAGCTTAGTCAGTCTGTTTGCCCTCATGACTTGGCTTCCCATACACAACATCTAACTCCCCCAGAATGACATCTACTCAGCTCTCCAGTCTCATTTCTCAAGGCCAACCACAGGTCAATGTAGACACTATGAGGAGGTCCACCTTCTCTCATTGCCCCACCACCACCCGCCACCCGCCTTGATTGACACTGGTGTATTCAGCTTAAAATCCATCCTGCTTTCTCTGTGTAATCTTCTGGGTCAAGCTTAGGTGCCATCTCTCTGTAAGCCTTTGTTTTCCCTGTTCAAGACCAGATGGCATGCTTCTTTGTGCTTAAAAACATGGCCTGTCACGAAGACTTGCCACTACTTAGTCCTCTGACTGGGCCTTTCTGCTGTCACACTGAGTTCCCTGAAGAAAGGGACTGAGTCAGATACTGGGAGATGGCATACTGGTATGTGCATCTCTGCCACACCTAATCCTCTGCTGGGCAATGGGTACACAGTATTAACGCAAGCGCCCCTGGTCCATGCTGAATGGGCACACTGAGGGACCACTGTGCAAAGGGTAAAGATTGGTCCAGATCATTCCATGAACTAGAAATTGCTTCAAGAAACTGAGTTTGCTGTTGCCAAGTCCTGGGTTACCTTTTATTATTATACACTCACATTATTTTAATGACATGTAAAGGCTGGGGAACCAAGGAACCCAGGAAGGTGTTGATACGTACCAGAAGCATAAGCATGAAGGACCCCATGTAGATGATCAGGAAGAAGAGGGAGATCATGGTCAGGGTGAGAATCCCTCGAATCCACCAGTTCTTCCACCTGCAAAGAAGTTTGTAAAGTCAGCATTTAATAATTCGATTTTTAAAGTTTTGGTATGTGTGGTTTCAGTGCTGAATTCCCAGAGTTGGGAATTTTTCTTAGCTGTTCTTTAAGATCTTATTTCATTTTCAGTGATAAGAGCAACAGTCAAAATTTTACATTTTGTCAGCTAAAGAAAGAAAGAGATTGCTGCTAAATATGAGTGGGGTGAAGTCATGAGGGCGGGGAGTTAGGATGTCAGCCTGGAGGTGGGAGCAGGACGGGCCAACAATGATTTTGTGAGGAGGAGCCTGAAGAGTCTTGGAAAGGAAGACATGGGGTTTTAGAGTAGTAGATAAAAATGTGCTTCATTTAAGAAGGTGGCAATGACAGCAGAGCTGCCACATAGAAACCTGGGGTTTGTTTCTTAAGGCAGAGCATCCCAGCTGCCACAGAGGGCTAGCTCCTGCTATAGTGAGGCTAGATCTCCCATGACCTCTGCTTTAAGGCCAAGGTACCCAGCAACCCCTCTTCTCAAGCTGCACTTTACAAGAATATCCTTTGGGGATGGTCCTTGTGTTATTTGACCATGCCATGATGCACACTGGCCGTCAACATACAGAAAACTAAGACGAATCCTAATACATGGGCTGTCACTTGTCAGTCATGATAGAATCCCTAAGGCTTAGTTCAGTGTCACACCCCTGTGGCCCCAGCTACTTGGGATGCAATGATAAGACCACTTAAACCCAGGACTATGAGGCCAGCCTGTACAGCACCAAGACCCTGCCACACAAACAGACTCTGAAAGCACATGTATATGGGGAGTCCCGGGTCCAAACTCTGTTTTTCTTTAAGATATGCTTTAGGCCCCACAAAGTTGGAGGCTCCCAGGGATTCCAACCTCTTCTCCTATGTCCCCGAGTCAACACATCCTCCATGAGTTTCACTAGCAATCTTTGTAAAAACCCAAGGCCCTCAGCGATGTGTGCTGGATGTGTATTGCAAGAATTCAAAGAGCATTTGAATACTAAGATGAAGGAAGGATTTGTGTAAGTTGCCTATTATTCTCCACATACTGACTCCTCCTTTATCACACTGTCTGTTGAGGGATGTGGCAACAAAATATAAATGCATCTTGTATAGAGTATTCGCTCAGCAAATATCTGATGAGATACTGAACCAATGAACAGTTTAATAAAAGTATAAAGCATAAAGATAAAAAAGATTCTCAGGGCCAGCAAGAGGGTTCAGCAGGGAAAGGGGCTTGCTGTACAGGCCTGGTGAAGATGAAACGTGGGAACAGACCCTAGAAAGTTACCCTCTGACTTCTGACATCCACACACCAGTGCTGTGGCTCATGAGTCTATGAGCACATACATAATAAATTTTAAAATAATTTTTAAAAAGATTTTCATTAGTTGTCACTACAAACAAAATATCTGACAAAAAGCAAATGGGGGTGAGGAAGGCGATGGCCAGAATGACAGGGAAGGCATGGTGACCGGGATAGGTCACAGACTATAGGCAGAAAGCAGAAAGCCAGTGTCCTGCAGCTGTCCTCCTTTTCCCCTTTTCATTCAGTCCAGAGCTCCAGCCAAAGGGACTGTGCTGCCTACGTTCAGGGTGGGCCTCCCTGCTCTGTCATGCCCCACTGTAACCACCATTACAGACACATGCCAATGAGTCTAATTAATGCTCTGGCTGTTTGTCAAACCAAATTGACAAAAAGTTAACCATCACTTGTGACTTTTATTAGTTACAACAATAACATTTAATTTGTATCATAAAAAATATGATTCAACTTAGTCTAGTTCATACATTTTATTGTAGGCACAGGTACTTCCCTATTTACAACAGAACTGATAGCTGATTTCATCTCCTTATAAAATACTGACTATAATTCTTACTTTCAACCACTCTTCTTCTATGTGGCTGATTTTATTTTTTATATACATAAAAACGCGTGAATTCTGTGTAGCGTGTGTGTGTGTGCGCGTGCACGTGCCTGTGCGTATGTGCAAGTGTGTGGTGCTGGGGCTCACACACAGAAGACCCATGTACTCTAGAGAGACACTCACCTCTGAGCTACACCCTCATCTCCCACCTTGCATAATTTAGACACTTCTTTGTCAAATCATCCTTTAAGGCCATTTCTGTACTCAAGGATCCACAATGTCAACAACATTAAATCCAAACAGCTTTTTGCTAGTTTCCCAGGTTTCCTCAAGGCACTCAAACTGAGTTTATCCTATGGTATTTCCCTCTACTGTCTAGTAAAATACGTAGAATCATCATTTCTTTCATCAAACTTCAAACTTCAGGCCTGAACTAAAAATTAATGTACAGTCAGACTGGAAAGCTCTGTTTAGTTTTGAAGACGTAACTCTCTACAGATTAATGAGTGGATTAGGGAACTGGACTAAGTCACAAAGCCAGGCAGAGGTGAACAAAGGTATTTAATCGGCCAATGATAATAATCCTGTCTGGTCTGCATGAAACCTGGATTCATACTGAGCCTTCCCTAGAAAAGTACCAGAAGTTGGGCCCTGATGGGAGCCGCCACCATTCACATGTCGTCTGTGTCTGCTCGGAGCAGGAAACAACAGCAGCTGCTGAGCACCAGAAACACTAAGAAGACATCTACTCTCTTCTCATCATCTCATAACTACAGTCACTGAATCCTGGGCCCTGAAGAACAAACACACTCTATTTAACCACTTTTTAAAAAGAGAAAACTTTTGTTGGCATCCAAATTAATGGGTATCACTATGCTATTTTGCTGTTTATGCATATTTACTTAATTTTTATCTGTCCCCTCCCCTTTGTCCTCTCCCACCCCCCACCCCCCACACAAGCTGGTCCTCTTCCCCCTCAAAAAAAGCTTTCCCAGCCCTTTTCACGTCACATGTACCCTACTAGTCCTCTTGTTCTGCTCCCCCACTCCCTTGACACCACCTCCTTCTCTTTCATGGTCTCCCTATGGGTGCATACACATACAGAGACACACACACACACACACACACACACACACACACACGCCCACACACACACGCCCACACACACACACATGCCCACTCTTGCACACACAAGCTAGATTCTACATTGTTCTGAGTCTGGCTAATTTCACATAATGCGATGATCTCTGGTTCCATCCATTTTCCTGCAAATATTACAATTTTATTCTTTGCAGCAAAATAAAATTCTTAGCATATGTGCACCACATCTTCCTGATCATTTATCTGTTGATGACATCCATATCATAGCTACTGTGGATGGTGGAGCAGCAGCATCTGTATGGAGGTTTCTCTATGTTCTAGAGGCACACACCCAGAGATGGTACAGCTGGGTCGGTCACATGGCAACTCTTTTTTTAAAGAGATTTTTATTATATTCTAATTATGTGTGGCTGTGTGTGGGTATGTGCATGTGTGAATACAGGTGTTCATGGAGTTCAGGAGACCGGGTTAGATACCCTAGAGCTGGAGTACAGGTGGATGTGAGCTGTCTGAGATGGGTGCTGAAAAACAAACTCAAGACCCCTGAAAGAGCAGTAAGTGTTCTCAACCACTCACCCACCACTCTAGCTTCTTACAACTACAACAACAAAAAAAAACTGTTACATTGTCTTGATTTTGTGAATTTACTTTTGTGCATGGTGGGAGGTAATGGGTCTTGCTTAAGAGAGACAGAAGAGGAGAACACCTCACTTCAGGCACAAGATTTGAAGGACCCATACTCAGGAAGGGAGCATTCATGTCAGTTCCAGCTCAGGGCCCTCTCAGTCCCTGTCTCTCCATGGTTCCTCAGCTTCATCCTCTGGGAGCAACCAAACTCCACAGTAATAGGCTGTCTGTTCTGGGAGTGTCTTGGACAGCCCTGGCCAACCTGTCAAAGGAGGGATACTCATGTGTAGTATTGGGGCATTTGTTAGGTATCTTGGTCTCTTGAAGGGAGCACCATTGGTCCAGATGAGAAAGTATATATGTATATTTATACATGGACTTATATGTATAACAGGATTTTTTGGTAAAGAGTTAGTGGTATAATTCCTTATGGCTTCTTCAGACATCTTACTGTTATTTTACCCATCTCCTTCCCCATTCTGAAAGGCCCCTCCCCTTTCCCATTTCCCTATCAGATCACTTGTATCCCACTAATCCTCCCTCTTGCATGGCGAGTTCTTAACCACTGAGCCATCTTTCTAGCCCCACTGTGGGAAGGTCTACTGGAGATTTCTGTGTCTACATTCCTTAAGAGAATGTGGCCTCAAATTTTCTTTGTGATGTCCTTAACTCATCTGGGTGCCAATATGATCACAGAATGACTTTGTTAGAGATCCTTTCATAGAACAGTTGGACAGATAATAGAAGTCAGTTTTCAAGTTTGGTAGAATCCAGCAATGAATGTGCTTACTCCTGGGCTCTTCTGTGTTGAAAGACTTTTAATAGCCATCTTCATCTAATAGCTTGTTGGTCTGTTATGCCTAAGAAAGTATCTGTTTCTTTGGATTTTCCAGTTTTCTGAAGCACAAGTTTTGAAAGTATTCCCTCATCACCCTCTTGATTCCACTAGAATCTGATGACTCTTCCCATTTTTACCTCTGATTTTATTAACTTGTGTCTTCTCTTTCTCTTATGGATAATTCAGCTAGGGGTCTATCGATCTTGATTATTAAAAAATAATAACAAAGATGGATCTAACTCTGATTCTACACATTTCTTTACTTTCCATTGTATTAATTTCTACCCTGGTCTTCCTGTGTATTGCTTTGGGTTTGGCTTGCTCTTGTGTATCTAACACTGTGACATGTGTATAATTAGGTTTCATGTTGGAGCTCTATCTGGCTTTTTTTTTTTTTTAAGTATAAGCACTTGCAACTAGAAACTTTGCTCTTAGAACTTTCTCAGCTATATCCCAAAAGTTCCACTAAGTTCTACTTTCATTTGGTGGTAGGAATTTTTAAATTTCCTCTCTGATTTTTTTTCAATGAGTCACTGGTGACTTAAGGGTGTCCTGTC